ATGTTGCTCCAAAATCGGGCCAAAGTCCCTGTACTATATAGTACAGGGTCGTAGGCCAAATTTCATCAAAAATGGCTAGGAAAGAAATCTTCATTTTTATAATTTTTTCTGATGCATATACATGTATTTATGTTGCATATCAAGTTTGAGCTGATTTCGATCAAGTTTGGATTTTTTATGAATTTTTAAAGTTGCTCCAGAATCAGACCAAAGTCCCTGTACTATAGTACAGGGTCATAGGCCAAATTTCATCAAAAATGGCTAGGAGACAATTCTTTATTTTTATAATTTTTTCTGATGCATATACATGCATTTATGTTGTATATCAAGTTTGAGCTGATTCTGATCAAGTTTGGATTTTTTTATGAATTTTTAAAGTTGCTCAAAAATCGGGCAAAAGTCCCTGTACTATAGTACAGGGTCGTTGGCCGAATTTCGTCAAAAATGGCTAGGAAAGAATTCTGCATTTTTATAAGTTTTTCTGATATACATACATGTATTTATGTTGAATATCAAGTTTGAGCTGATTTCGATCAAAATTGAATTTTTTATGAATTTTTAAAATTTCTCAAAATCAGGCAAAAGTCATAATTGGATATTAATTTTTATGAATTTTTAAAGTTGCTCTTAATCTGAAAATTATAAAATGAAGACCTGAAAATCACGTCATAAATTAGGTCTAAAATTCTCTTGAAAAATACATGGTAACTCTATACAAATACACAACTACAAGTTATAGTACCAGATGTTATTGAAGCAAATTCAATTAGTTATTAAATAAAATCTAGTTATTATGATAACAGTTATTATTTTTGTGATAACATTAATAAAAATACTAATACCTTTGTTATTTCAGGATAGACTGAAATGATGCAGTCTCCACTCTATATTTATGATTGTGGCTCTAATATCCACTGCATGCAGTAGTCTATAGACTATAGACCCAGCCCAATGCAGGCTAATTATGGCGATCACTGACTATAAAATTGCACCGTATATATTCTATAGCTGCACTGCAAGAGATACTGGCAATGTATTTGCTGAATGCTGATCTCAAGGTTTCCAGCTTTCAAACTAATAAAAACAAACTAAAGCATTAAGAGAAGCTGTAAGAAGGAATAAATAAGCTCTAGATTTGTTGTATGAGCTGCTAGATATTGACGAGGCTGCATCTACCACTGACATCACTGGATCTGCGTGTTTATTTCGCTAAAACTCTAAACCTATATATCACTCTTAGTAGCTGGTGCCCATTGTTTTCTTTGTTTTGCAACAGTTTGGAGCCCAATGATCTTAGAATTAGGCTTGCTTTGAGTGATTCTCCATCGAGTTCCACCATCGATTTGCTGATCGATGGGTGTGGCATTGCTTAATAATCATTATGAAATTATTTTTTCTGGCATATACGGTACAATTAGTGCTCGTGCGTGATAATTAGCCTTGAGATGGGTCTATACCAGATGCATATCCATGCAAATGAACTGTTGCTCCATGGAATATCAGGACAAGATGAAGGGCATCTTCATAAGAGAGAATTGATTGAACGTCAAGCACCTCCACCAGGGGTAGTTAGCCCAGGAATACCAGGACAAGATGAAGGACATCTTTATAAGAAAGAATTGATTGAACGTCAATCACCTCCAGGGGAAGCTGATCCAGCCAAAGTAGTTCCTAAAAAATCTGGTGAATAAAAATAATTGCTGATAAGTGCTCATGAAAAATGACTATTTAACAATAAAACTACATTTATTTTCTAATACATAATATGCTGCTGTATCAAAATAATGTCTTTGCTATTATTTAAATATGATTTATACTTTATCACATGCATGGGGACGGCGAATTAAAAATACATAATAATTGGTAGCGTAGAGCAACGCAGTATTTAAAATAAAGCATAATTAATTAAATTAATACCACACTATTCAATACATAGAGCAAACTTACTGAGCATCAAAAAATGACAATGTGGAATGTATAATCATTGTGCAAGGAGACCAGTATTAACAAAATTATTCAAAGATGTGGGTTATCATGTATTTCATAATCTCAGTAATAAGAGGAGCTACATGTACGTGTACTAATCTCACTTCTTATTACAAATATAAAAAAGAAATGACAAACAACAATT